GGGGGAGGGAGAGGAGGGGGAGGGAGAGGAGGAAGAGGGAGGAGGGGGAGGGAGAAGAGGAGCGAGAGCGTCACGGCGGGTGAAAAAGGAACAACCAAGCCGACAGGAGGCTGGCGTCGGAGGGGTTTGTAGATATGCGCGAGTTCAAAGCGGATGGCGGGGCCGGTAAAAACCATGTGCAGTGTCCAAGTGCCAGGGAAAAAATATGTGGCGAGATTAGGCCTATCCTTCCGAATCTTTTCTCCCGATCGATTGTTGCTTTAATAACATAATAACATATTCGGCGCGGAAACACCGCCATCATAGACTTGAGCGGGTCCGAGACGCCACGGCTCCCTTGGTCGCCTCCTCACTCAATCGCCCTATTAGTACTTATCTCTCAAAAGAAACCTCCCTTTCGTTCCTCGGTTCTAGACCCTTGGCGCTACCGGAGGAAATACATGCTAGAGTACAGTCTCGTGTCCTTGCCCCCCCCTCCAGGCCGGGGCCCTAGACCTTGCCCGCCTTGCGCTCGGCTCTGTTGTCCTTCCTGTTCGTGTGCGCCGCCCGGTTCCCCTTGCAATTGCGGCCCGGTGTACAGGTCCCGCAGCTAACAGGGATGTTCCTGTTGTCGGACTGGGGGGAGGTAGCGGGGGAGGGGGAGGGTCATGAGATAGGTCACGGGGCAACGTTCTGACAAGCACTGGTTCGACTGGCGGGGGGCGGGGGGGCTATGTAGGACAGGGTGGAAGGCGCGATCTGAGCCTCCCGTTCTAGGACATGGTGCAGCAAGAATGCGCCGTCCAAATGGGAAGGGCGAGCAAGAAAGGGGTCCTTCTTCCGGCTAACCACAGACGCATTTTCAATGGGCACAGGGGGGTTGGGAGGGAACACGCGCGGACTCGAACCGGGAAGGGGCTGCCGAGGGACAGGAAAGAGAAAGACTTACCCCGTATGTGCGGACTTTGTTGAAGGTATTGGGCGCAGAGTTGACCTCGGCAGCCTCGCAGGTAGCTGGGGCAGTGGCGGGGTACAAGGACGCGAAGGGGTTCTTGAACTCCACCCACCCCTTGAACGTGACCTGAGTCGAGCAGATGTTGGACGAGTAGAGAAAGCGGACTTTTTGCCTGCCACGGGCCTTGACGTAGGGGACGGTGACGCAGACCGTCTCGAAGCCATCGCCCGTGGTGTACGGCGTGCTCACGTTAGGGTAGACCACGGGCTGGGGCTGCGGGCCTTTCACGCGCGGGGAGAATCGGACACGACCCTGGTACAGGGGGCTGTACTCGAGGCCTCCGGGCGTGTAGTTGTACAGCATGTTGCAGAAGGTCACGTCCTCGATGGGCAGGTCTTGGACATTGCTGTAGAAGCGGCCTTGGATCCAGGTGTTGCGGCCCCACCGAATCTTCTGGAACGTGAGTGAGTAGTCCACCGAATCGACCAGGGGCCCGAACGTGGTGGCGTTCCCGATGCCAGTCAAGGCGCTGGGTTTGGGGTTGAAGAAGTACGGACACTCCGTGGTGCGGTTGGGCCCGGGACGGGACTCAAGGGGGGCTGTGAAGGGCAGAGGGGTGCGAAAGAGGGGGAGGAAAGAGATTAAGGGAAACGCCATTGATCGAGAGTACGCAGGCCCATGCATGCATCCAGACAGGACAAAAATGCAATGCCGGTATTGACGGGCGACATCCTGCACGCTGAGTGGCTTGAAAGGCTTGTACGTCTACCTTGCGGTTTGTTCCCCAGGACGGACAGAGGCAGCAGACCCGCCACCACCAGGGCGCCGATGAAAGAGAGGCCGTGAGAGCGCATCGTTTGAAGCTAACTGTAAGACAAAAAAGCGGACAAAAAGACAGAGCGAATAATTTTAATTTTGATGCTATCTAATCAGAATAAGTGTTCAAGTCACCTTGTGAAAGAAAGAGAGGGAAGGGAATAGAACCAGGAATGCCGTGGTGGACGTTTTGCCCGCACAGAGATTTGCGTGGTTACCAAGAAGCAATGACAACCTCTGAAATATAGTAGAAATAAAGAAAAACGATAGATTCATCGGCTGCAGCGCCGCAGCCAAATCTAGCTCGCACACAAGTCACGTAGACATGTAACTGGATTCCGCGGCCCATGGAGTCGATGTTTCTATTAATCCGAAAAGACGTTCCCTGGATGCAAAAAAAAACGATCTCAATCCTTCCACCCCATGACCGTCACCAAATTAAGGGAAACCGGATGCAGACTTTGTTAAAAAGCTGGTCGCGCGAGAGCGGAGAGAGCCTAGGCAACCCTCGGTGAATCTCTTTGGGCGCGAGATAACAGAGGCCAGCAGGTCAGCTGTCGGCCCATTTCAACGGCTCTCTGTCAACAGGGAGCAAGAGCCTAGTGGGGGACGCGAGATTGCAGAACATTCATTAAAGGTAATTTTATGAAATCTGGACAAAGTTTGAATATTTGTGCTTATATAGCACTCGATATTGTCTGAAATTTCACGAGACGTGTCAGGAAAGTGTATTCTCCCCCCCCCCCCCCCGGCAAGTCCTGTGGTGTTATTTTTTCCTTCAAGAGTTGGGATAAACCATGTGGTTAGGGAGGAAAAATTCCAAATCAGCCCAAACTTGATCCGCCTGAAAAAAAATTCTAAGGGGGATCAACAAAGTCTCGGTAAGGAAACGTGTACGTGAGAATGAGTGTCGACAATGCCTCCATGTCCGTAATACCTAAGGGATGCACCGCATCTGCGTCCTTACATTCGCGTCACAAATATATTATTTTGGGAGTTTTACTATACTATCGACGGCTATTTGGTCTATACTGGTCATTGTCAAGGGAAAATCTAACAACTTCGTAAAAGCTTGCGGGAGTGGCTCAGACATACAGAGGGCTTTGTGCGCGAGAAAGGAAAGGTATGGCATAGAAGCGCACACAAGAAAAGTGCTCAATCCATACTTGAAGCCATGCTCCCCGATTGGTGGGTGAATGTGAAAATGGCTTAGGTGATGGGTCATACTTCTATTTGTTAGGGTGTAGTGCTGCTAAATGAAAGGCGTACTCACTTCTTACTCTGGGCTTACATTTCCCCTCTCCCTCATCAGGAAAGGCCTGATTGTAGACACTTTTTCTGTTATTTCGGTTACCGACATTTCTATCGAAAAGACGTTGCTATGATTCAAAGATAGTGTTTACACCTTCATAGAGGGTTTCAGCCTGCAGTTATCCTCGTGCTTTTATCCTTTTCGCGCTTTGGAAGTGTACTCAACGCGATAAATTTTCCGGACTTTCCATGATCAATCCCTTACATACAAAAAAACAACGAATGAAAACAAATTTCTTAAAAAAATCCAGTGCCATTGCTGCAAACACGCTGCTAATCCGTCACCAATGTCTGAGATAAGCGGCAGCCTGAAGAAGCAGCTGTCGGCCGCGTCTATCCCTGCCCCTGCCTCCTGATTCCTGTACCATCTTTAATGAAATATACTAATCATTAACTCAACATAAGGACACCATAACAGTCGTCTTCTACAAACCTCTCAACCATGTAGACATTTTTTAAAAATCTCGTTCTTGGGCCGAGTAAATTGGTACTTGAATCTCCAAGGCCTCGCTCACTTTTTAGCCGTTGAGGCTCGTGGCTGGGCGAGATGAGACAAGCCAGGTGGTCTAAGCTGAAAATTTAATTTTTCCACTGTCACGTGGTTATAATAAGCGGTCTTCCTGAACTGGCGACGAGAGTGGCATATCTTTGAGGGTTTTCTAGAGGAATCTCTCAGCAAAGTGCTGCGATAAAAAGGGCGGATTTTGATAGGGCGACGTTTTTCAAGCGGACTCGTTGAACTCATGAGTGGACTTTATAAAAATGGGAAAAGCCCGGTAACCAGGTTGACAACTTTTTCTTCCATGTTTTCTTTTAGGATATTTGAAAGCTTTCAATTTTTTATCTTGGATTTAACACCCTTGCCAGCTGCCGTGAAGTGGAATAAAGGGTAGAAGCGTCCTCCGCCCACACTTCACTGTCACAGAAGAGGAGGCCCCGCCGGGCGAAGCGCGTGGAAAAACGCAGCCGTAGATAAGGAACATGTGTAGAAGCAATCTGGGAGCGCGACTCGTTTTCCTTTTCGCACGTTGGCGGCCCAGGAATGCTCTCCCAGAAGTGCGTCGTCAGCTCCAGTGATGGAATCCATGCCCATGGCTCTCTTCCTGAGTTCTCTCTTCCCAGTTCCCCTGCCCCCTTTTCTATCCCCTCGTTCCCAGTTCCCCCGCCCAATCCTTGGCTCATTTCCCCCCCATCTCGTCTAGAGCTGCCCCCTCGATGGGTCTGGACAGGGGCAGGGTAGGCATCGTTGAAGAAGGCCAATGACGTCAGGCATGGCCGGCGTCGCCAGGACCCGCTGAGACCCTCCAGGCCCGACGCAGGCGCCCCATCCCTGCCATGTTCGCCATCGGGAGCACGGTCGGCCCGGAAAGCCCCCCAACCCTCCAGCACACAGGGCTCTTCCATCGAGTCGATCGGTTTCCCCCGGACAATGCCTGTAGGTGCCGGGATTGGAGCTAGTCAGCATTTGAGGGCTCCTCAGGCCACCCCGTCCCACTCCACCCCTCCTCACCCTTGATAAACGCGGACTCCTCCGGTACCCAGAGCTCGATCCTGTCCCCTATCTTATGGTTCACGGGCTGTTCCTCATGGAGGAGCGCCATCAGGTCCAGGCAGTGGGCTCTGGGGGGAAGGACGGGGGGAAGCAGGTGGTTCATGTCCAAACCCTGCGGTGTTTAAGAGAGGTGAGACGGAGCAGCCTCAGTCGACGGTGGCCGAGGCCGTGGTCCCGATAATCAGGGCGGGGAAAGAAAAGAAAAGAAATGAGGAAGGGGGGGGGGGGAACGGCCCCTGACCCTAACCCTGACAGTTTTTGGCAGGTTCCAGCAAGAAGCGGTTGAAGACTTGCCTTGAAGGACTCGAGAGCGCCAAAGGTGGCGAGAAAATGGGCCCGTGCCTCATTTTCCTGCACGAGGGTCACCTAGAGGAGAAAGGCAGAGGAGATGAGGGGAAAGCGGGCGCTTACCCCGGCGGAGGGGGAAAAAGACGCCTGTGAAACCCGACCTGAAGGGTTTCCTGCGAGCGGGAGGCAGCAAGGGGCGTCACGTGGAGGAAGACCGGTGTCTTTTCGAGGGCCTGGGGGCACCGGGACGGCCGAGCGCGTGAGTGGGCCAGGAGCCGAGGAAGGAAAGGGGTCGACAGCTCCCTCTGGCCGTCTCCTCGATGCTCGTCTCCCCTCCCGAGAACCCTCCCCCTCCTGACCTTCTTGACGAAGTAGGTGGACACAGACAAAGGGTCCGGGCGAGCAGGACTGCTCAGGCGGCGGGCAGCCGTGATGGCCATGGAGGTGAGGATGCCGCCGTTCGGGGCATCCCCGTAGGACCACCTGCATGCACAAAAAGGATGCGGGTGCGTCGTTTACATGTCTCAAGTCTCCGCCTGCCTCCTTGCATGTGTTCGGTTCCAGCAAGGCAACTCTCACCGTAGCTGACAGCCTCTGTCTTATTTCCTCCCTCTCTTCCTCCCGTTCGCGCCCATGCTATTCCTTCTCACCTTTCATCGAGGTATCCCTGGAAAACTCGTGGTCTGGAGGGCAGATGGGAGGAAAGCGGCGAGGACGGCGAGACTTCGCGCATGGCCATGGCCTCGTCGAACGCGAAGAGTTGGGGGCCTTGGGCATTGGTGCTGCCCGAGCCTATGTGGCCAGTGCTAGCAATCGAGCGACTTGAAATGTGGCACAAATTTCGGTGGCACCGCTTCTCGAAGATATCTTGCCTGTGTATCGACCCAGGAAAGTCTAAATCAATTTCGTCCCCTTTGAAGAAGAGACTCGTTAAACAAATCATGGAACAAAAGAGGGAATCTTACCTCCGAACACAAGCCCAAAACGAACGCATCTTTATGTCCAGTGATACCCTAGCAGTGTCGCCTGCACAATGTGCATGTGTTTTCGCGTGAAAAAGAGCTTGCGGCAAGTTTCTGGCTTGTGAGTGTCGGCAAGCGATACGTATGCGTCCTTCACCTCTCGCTGTCGAATAGCGAGTATACGACCTTGGCATGCAGCCTCTGAGCCGTAGTCAGGACGTCTGCCTTAAGACACAAAGACCACGCGCCCCGGCCATGCACCCACAGCGGCCAAACCTACCATGGTGCATCTTGCGGCGCACCCAGCGAGTCGCTGACACGGAGCACGCGCGCCTGGCCGTGGCTTTTTGCACCTTGTTGGCGGGATGATCTCACTCCCTTCAAGGTGGTCAACCGGCACGTCGAAATGGAAGCCGCCTGCCCGTCAGTACGCCGAGCTCAACACTCACTGCCTTCCTCCGATTCAACCTCCCACCTCAGTAGTGGGCGTCGCGCCTCCACTTGTGCAGGGCTTATGCCAATATCAGCCCCCGCACCCGGTCGTGCCATCAAGTGCGTGGAGGAGACCGGTATAAGACCAGATGCCCCCCCCTCCCTCCCTCCCTTCCTCCTCTCCTTCCTCGTCCCCTTCCTCCTCCTCCCCCTCCCCCTCCTCCCCGCCCCTACCCTCGTCACCAATGTCATCACCCTCTCCGTCCGCCCTCGTCGTCTCCTCCCCTCCGCGTTTTCTCCTCGTGCAATGTCTTCCCCTCGTCCTCCTCTTGACCGCGCTCACCTCCTCCTCTGCCTTCCTGCGCGTTACCCCTGCCTTGCCCGCCCGCCGCGCTTTTGCCCCTTCTCCTCTTGAAGCCATGACGTTCCGTATCACGAGCGCGAACCTCCTTGCCCCCATTTTTAAACGCGTCGACAGTAACGGCACCCGTGAGAGTGCCTTTGAAGAGCAATACCTCCGCCGACACAGCCGCGTCATAGACAGGCTGTTGGGCAGCAGGGACGGGGAGGACGAGAGACTTCTACCGGACGTGCTCTGCGTGCAGGAGTTTTGGACGCAGGGCTCTGCCTATCGGCGGCTGTACGCCTCTCGTCTCTGCGAGGAGAAAGGGTACAAGCTGGTGGAGGTGGAGCGGACGAACGCGAGGGGAGACGGCGTCGCCTGCTTTGTCTCCCCGCGCGTGGAGCTGGTGGACTACCGACCCATCTTCTTCTTGGACTGCGGTGACCGGGTGGGCCTCCTCTGTCGGGTGCGGCTAAGGGACGAGGAAGCGGGGGAGGGCGGGGAGCAGGAACAGTGCGACCTGCTGGTGGTGAACACGCACCTCCTCTTCCCCCACAACGCCTACTCAAGCCGTATCCGCCTCCGGGAGGTGCAGAAGATCCTGGGCTTCATCGACAAGTACAAACACGGTAAGCGCCAGGGCTCTGTCTCCGTCCGCGGCTTTTCCCCTGCTCATGCCCTCCCTCCTTCCCTCCTCCCCTCCCTCCCTCCCTCCCTCCCTCCTCTCCTCCCGGCCCCCTCAGACGAGGATCTCGGCCCCCTCCCCATCATTTTCACGGGGGACTTAAACGGCTCGCCCAAGGGGCAGGTCTTCGAATACCTCCGTCACAAGGGCTTCGTCTCCGC